ATTGATATGTTGATTGCCACGGAGAGTGGAGAAGAAAGAAAAATCGAAGATGTTCTGCTCGTTGTGTGTTCAACGATCGTTTCGAGCAACCATATGGATTTCCTCGATTCCTTCAATTTCTTCGATTCCTTGGAAATTATCGAACCCATCCGTTTTTATCCGACTAATGTTTTGGAGTACGAGCAACGTTGTAGATAACCCGGAGCATGTTGCTGATCGTAAAAGTCGATGATACTTGCTTGTTCAACGATTGAAGAGAAAATGTGAATAGGATTACGGAGTAGAGATTCGATAATAATGATAAACGATAATGAAACTTTGAGTACAAACATCTTCTGGCATAAATCTATTTTATGAATCGAAGTCGTAATCTATTAGATTGATTGGACAAGAATATTTTAATTCATACAGGAAGTTACGAGAGCAAATTAAGTATCAATGACAGACAACGAAAGCGGTTATATAGCATGACTTGTCGAAGAATCGAAGAATAACAAAGGGCACTGTTAACCAAGATAACGGTCCAATTAAAAAATTCAAGCGATATCTCGCGATTGAAACGCTGACACTTTTATCAGTATGGTTTCCTTCCATCATTTTGCTTTCTTGGATCCGATGTAGCTCTCTCCGTATCACGGGTCACGAATACTTCCAAGAAACCTAAGAACATCGTAACTATAGAAAGAATGCTCCATTTATCATGTTAAACTGTTGCATTGAAGCAATTTAGTACGTGCTGAATAGTCTTCTGAAAGATCTTTCAGTTGCACTGCAAATCCACTTTTAGAATTTTAAATCCCTCGTGTACCTTTCAATTACTCTTAAACCTTTCAATTCCTTGTTTTTTACCTTCGTATCTTTATATTTTCCACTCGATAAAATAATCTTCTGAACTTCTAAGCCTCGCAGATCTGCGATTTAAATTCCAATCGCGAGCGAAACCAAAATGGTCAAGATTTATTCGAAGAATTAAGACAAACTACGTAATCTTCGAACGTTCACTTTCCACGAATAATCCAAGTCACGTTTCACCGAACGCATCCCTAAATAAAAAGAGAGGTCCGGATTTTATCTGTCTCGTTATTAGAAACTAACGACGTTTCCTCGATCGGTTTTAATTCGACCGCAACGATCGCGATTCTACCGATCGAATAAAGTAGCTCCGTAGATTCCGGCCATAGCTTCAGCTCTCTCGAAACTTCTCTCTCTCTTTAGATCCGCGCCTCGTATCGAACTCTTTTCCTTTACGGGCCATTAGAATCGCCCGAAGCTCCAATAAAACCCGGCGAGATTGCGTTCACGGTTCCGCAGACGATCGAGAAAACGGCGAGTTCCGCGGGCCGACGTTCATTACCTCGATACGAAATTAAAGATCCGTTTGCAGCGTGTCGCGTTAACCGGTTCCAGGGTGCATTTCGCCTGACTGAAACGCTCCACGCGACGACACCGTCCGAAATTAAGATATCGAGCATATTCCGTCCCTTAAGTGGCATCTCTCGCTCGAACCAGCATTCGATTAGCCTCGACAGACCGATTAATTCCGCCGATTCGTTGAAACGTCCGTTTTTAACTGTGCCTCGTTCGATGTGAACAACCTTTTGCTCGGCAACATGTCCGATACTGTGTTCGTAACTACCGCGACTCGTTTTCCCGGATTGTAATTGCGAGATTTATTGCCCCCATGGAGTGTGACTCATTTAAGATGTGTAATACAGATTGTGGCATTAATAATAATCGGTATAATGCGAGTAGCTGTTTCGAACGACACGTGCGAGCTTATAGTCTTTATAGGTTGCAACTATTAGTGTATTTACAGTCGTTGGTATAATACGAGCCATTGGGTAGTAGAACCGATCAATTCCATTTTTTTTTTTTTTTAAACCACTCCATTAACTTCGATGGAGTTGGTCAGTTTAGTGTCTGTGATTTATACACCTATTAGCAAGTTAGTGTGTTGAATGTTATTTATTAAACGTTCAGGACCGGGTATCGTCTTAAACGATTATTCATCGAGCAATTCTTCAAACACAGATTCACTAACCCAGTCTTTCTTCTCGTTCATCATCCAGCAAAGGAGACAGAAATCGGCGAGGAGAGTAACTATCGCGTTTAGCGTAATCGCGTACAAAATGAACGTTCGCGCGCGTTCGCGTTTGGCAACGTTTAATTATCGGTCCGATACAATGGCCGGCCCGGTAACAGACGGGCCACCGCGGCAGTCGACCAAAAAGTCTATCATTAAAAACGAGCCCCGTTCTGGGTGAGAATAAAAGTACAAAGTATTTCGAACGAAAAAAAAAAAAAAAAGAAAACACCGCTAGGAAAAACAAGGAACAAGAAGAACAAGCTAGTAGAAGAAGCAGAAGAAGTGGACGTGGACGAAGAAGAAAAGAAAAGATGGACCATGCCGCGATACCTTAAAATGATCATCGCTTTAAAAGATCGGAGAACTGGTGGAGGGAGTAGAATAGAGGAGATAAAAGAAGTAGTAGGTATATCCTTGATGAGCGATCGTTATCACGATGAAAATGCAGTCTCGGATCGATCCACTGCAGTCGATTCCTCCCTGGCTTCTTTTATTAGACTGCCAATTTCATAGCGTCTTCTCGCTTCCTCTCTCATCTTCTACGTTACTATCGTCTCTATCGCGCTTTCACGTTTCCTCCCTTTGTCGTTCTATCCCTTTCCACTCTGTGTCTGTTGTTCGTCGTCTATAGTTTGCCCGTTTCTTTCTTCCCGGTCTTCGTCTCGTTCATCTTCCACGTTCTCTCGCTTCTCCTACGCATCCTTTTTCTTCGCTCGCACGAAATCTCGCTGATTCCACAGTGAAACGTGTATATACACTCGGGGACAGATTCTAATTTCAAGCAGAAGCTGTAACGAAATCTTCGAAACGGTAGTATCGGATTGTTAAAAAATTTCGTGGCGTTTTTAGTACGAACGTCGATCAAATAATGGGATGTCTGAACGGATACCGCTTTTGCTTGGATATTAAACAGAATCAAGTAGAAGCGCGAGAAATTCGTTAATAAAATTTGTACCTTCTGTCGGTGAGACAACAGGTACGAGATTTATTTATGGCTAATCGTAAATGTATTAGGTTGTCCGAAAAGTTTCTTTTGTTTTATCAGGAAATAGCACAACGTTTCTTGTTTTATATTATTTTGTCAAAATACGTACGATCCATTTCGTTCTGTCGAGATGAACACCGCGACATTTCACAGAGTTGGTTTCACGTTTCTACGAAAGTGCACTGTTGTAAAAATCACGTTTGCGAAAGAAAGACACTTTTCGGACAACCTAATGCTAACTGTCTTGTCTTTCTCTTTCATTCCTTGGCCAGAAATTCGGTTCTCCTGCATAACCATCAGCTTTCCAACGTTTATCTCGGCCGTGACGTCACACGGCGTAGCGCACATGTTCCGACATCGTCGGAAGAATCATTCGATTATGCAGAGTCGCGAGGGAATCGTGAATTTCACAGGGAGCTCCTTTGTCGCGTGCTCCAAAGCTCCGTTTTCTTCGCGATTGCCTCTCTTTTATTGGGGACCTTGATGGCTCGCAGCCGCGTTACATCGAACGGACACGTTCACCGGAAAAACAGCTTGAACGGAAGATAGCTGTTGAATGTGGAGAAGGAAATTGACAAAAAGGAGGAAAGTTGTAGTTTCTTTCACAAAGGGTGGAAAAGTTGTAGACTTTTTCAGTTTCTTCGCATAGTACGGCGGTTTTTCGAGTTTCGTTAAGAAACTGCGAATTTTACTTGATATTCCAAACAAAACGACTTAACAATTTCACTATATATTTATTGTAAATAAAGAGATTTTTTTATATCTGACAGAATTATATTTCTGGAGTGATCATTACGTTAATTTAAATTCGTACGTAAAACTTTTGAAATAAGTGTAAATTTTGCAACTGTGTTCCAAATTTCCAGAAATAAATTACAAATATAGAGAAACCGTATCTTCGTTAGAACTCAATTATGTGTAACGTGCAAGGCTTCGGCGAATTGCATCCTTGACAATTTGTTCGCTTCCGAGTTGCTTCTTTTCAGTGTAATTTATTTTAACCAGATCCGACCGCTCGGGAGAATTTCTGCAACTCAGACATCGTTTTTATATACAATATTCTTTTAAGGCGAAGAAGAAGGCGGGGGATTTCAATTTTCCTGTCACCGAGCCCCGTTCCATCAATCTCGAGAACCGTGGCATCGAAGTGGAAAACGAACTCGATGACTTCCCGGTAAGAAGGCGTCTCTCCGAGTTACGGACTCCTTTGTGCACCTATATTCGATGCCTTGAAACAAAAAAAAGAAAACCTACCACTTAACAAATTCTACTTGGAACTCGATGTTCCAAGTTTAAACAATTCTGCCTTTCTTCTTCTATATTACTTTCGTACAAGAAGATTAAATTAGCTGTAACGATCCATTTTATACTCATAAAAATACTTCCATATTCTGGAGAGTCGTCATCTCCAACATTTTATATCGACGAAGCATAATTACGCAATTAAAACCAAGACGATTTGTTTAACTCGTCAAGAATCAACTTTGCTTTAATCCAACCTTTCATCTTCAGCCTTTTCTTTTTCCTTCCATTCGGACGCTACAACTGTATGAATCTTGAAGAAATTAAAGTATCCTATAGCATCACGATGAAATATTTCTCGTTAGATCATAGTTTGTATATTCCTTTTCGTGTATCGGATGTGTGACGGCCCTCTTGCGACGTATCTGTTATTTTAATACGTTTGTCGTGTCTTATCGCCCTCATTTTATTTGGTAAATACGTTTATACAATCTCTGGAAATGATTTCACTGCTTGGACCCTGACGAGTTAATTAAAATTTCTTCGTTTGCAACATTATTTTCATAATTATCCAACGGCGTTCTGATGAACTCGGTGCAACAAAATATTATTCTCGAACGTCGAGTAAAAAATGATTGCCAGCTTTCATAACCAGTTCCCAAGGAGAAAAAACAGTCTCATCCGTCTTATTCGAGGAAATTGAGAGGATCGACATCCGAGCGGAATATCCAAGATCCTTCTGCTTGTTCGGGCTCGATCCGAAAGAAGACCGTCGAATATTCAATCCCGCGAGCAATTTCCATTCGTCCCGATGATTTCCCCGCCGAGATCGAGTTAATGAGAATATAATCTTAGTTGTGCGTGGTCTCGTTCGTTCCGTGCAGCCAATACTCTTGCCATTTTACATTCCGTGTCCTCGTTCGTTCCATCCGTTCTTCCCTCTGCGCTGCATCCGGTCCTTCCTTCCGCCAATTACTCTCGTCCCGACGTCGTCGACCGGAATTATCGTCGTCCCTAGAACGGATCCACCGACAGGACTTTTCCTGCCTTTTCCACCTCGCTCCTGGGCTTTGCCGATCTTGCCATTTTTCACGGATCTTCTCGCTATGTAGGAGAAGATCGTTCTCGTTTCAACCAGCTGCATAGGGTTTCGTCAGATTTAGAACAGGAAGAGTACGATGCCGCGATGGAACTTCGTACGTAATAAATCTGTTACCATAAGAGTGTGGATGTTTATGCAAATTTATATCCTTATGAACACGACCGAAGAAGCGAAGTCTAGATAGAGATTTGTTTCATCTACAAAATGTTATAACGAGCGCTGTACCTATTTTGCATATTTTATGCATGTTTGCGTATTATGTGAATTCACGCGTACCTCTGCGCCTTGCACAATTTTTTATCATTGCAATCTAATTATTGTTTGTCATGCTAGGCATAATAAGTCTACGAAAGGAATCACGATATGTTTCGGTGGTTATTCAAAATTTCCTCGACTGTCCAAATCCACTTTACGCGGTACGACGAGCTGATAGTCGCGCGAGGTCTTTAATTAAGAGACAAACTAATCGACTTTCGCGCAGACGAACGCACACACCGTGGCAAACGACGTCTCGACGCCATCGTCGAATTTTATTATTGTCGCCAATTGACATACAATTCGAAAGACGTTGCCGATTATTAAACGGTGCATCATGGTCGTACAATGGCCCACCGACGACCGCACAGGAAGGCTTCTATCACCGTTGATTTAGCTTCATTACGATTTTTATTAATAATTTCACTAATTGCCCGGTTTGCCGAATTAATTGGCCGCGTCTGGGAACCGTGCAACGTACGTTTCCGTCTTTTAAAGTATGCTGCACTTACGCGATCATTAAAATCTAATAACATTTCTTCGTGATCGAGTCTGGTATCTGAAATTTTCCATTTACATAGATCGGCCTTGTTTAAGTTTAGAGAATAATCGAATTGTGACTCTCGACATTAAACGAGATGTTGCATAAGCTGTGTCAAGTTCTTGTTGCTTGTAAAGCACCAGTCATCGTTTCTAAGAAACTCTGTTACGAATATTATCTCTAAGATGTAGAGTTACTTAGGCTCCAGCTGGCAGCTGTATAATTTAATCTTGATTGTGAGATGTTTTTGAGAATTAATTTTCTTATAACGAAGAGACGACTGTGTCACGCATTTTGGAACCAAATACCGTAATTCTTTTTTCTGTAAAAAAAAAAATAAATAGAAAAATTCATTTTTATTTTGTATAATATCTGCTGCACATCGAGCTTTATTTATTCATTGATGTAGCGTTTAGTCCTGCTCTATCATTTAATAATCTATTTAATAAATTACGGTTCCTTCCATACTGTAAATAGATTACTTCAAAATGATTATAAATAGTTAACTTTAATTTTAGCTTCACTGCTATAAGAACATCTCCTCAGCAGTGACTAACAATTAAAAATAATGTAAACTTCATACGGCTAAATTGTTTAAAATAATACAAATTTACGTAATAATAGTAACAGTAAGGTAACAACTTCGGAGAAAAATTTGTTGACAAATCCATCTATCGTTGGTTATACACTTTAGGGAACACTCACGATCAAGCAGCTGCAACGAAATCGATGGAATGCCGTTCTCCAGGTTGCACCAGAACTTGGCTGGTAACCCGGCTCGATCAACGCACCGATAAAGCACGTCGCTGCGGTGGCTAAAATAAACCTTTGTCATTTTTTTTATTCGCACTAAATTAATCACCGCCGACCGGGAAATATTTCACCGCAATGCGAGATGTTTTATTATAAGATAACGACGAACGGTCGAAACGCGGCCCCCTCGGGAATATTCCAAATTAACTGATTTGATAAACGAGTCGCGTCCATTGATATACTGTTATTCGTTAAAACGCTCGAAACCAGAAAGCTGGAGAAAATTTATGCACAGAAATAAGAAGGTAAATGTTCCAAGACAAACATTCGCACATGGTATAAATAGTACCGATTTTTTAAGACCTTACGTTTTCAGCAATTACGGCCATATTTTTACTTTTATTATAAAACACAAAATTATTGTCGGATTAAACATGGTATAAATTATCAAGAATCTCTCGAAAGAAAAATAATTGCACTGTCAAACGACGAAGCCTCGAAACTTAGTTTTTCAGACAATACGATTCATCGTTGTGAATCTTGCAGATGAGTAGACATTTTTAAGTTTCGTTTCACTTTCGCTAGATAAGAAAAGAAAACATCTGTCGTGATGCTTGAACTAAACGCTTCGATCTGCTCAGTTCACACTACGAATCATCGATAAGACTCATCTTTCCGAACTCTAGAATCAATGAACCATTAACAACTCGTCAATTCACCAAACAGAGTTCAACACAAACGAAGTATCTTGAAAAAAAAAACCATGAATAACCCTCTTTCACTTCAAATCAGCGAGAAGAAACCACTTCTATCGTCCAAACTCTTTTTTTTCTCTCTTCCTCTCTCTCTCAAAACTACCCCCCCCCCCCCCCACCCTCCACACC